CCAGTCATGCTTCATTGATTCCCTAAATAACCAATTTTTCTCACATAAGGGGGCCCCCTGCCCCCATTAATCCGCCTCTGGAAATAATATTATAGGATATTTCTTCCACTTTTAACTTATGTTATGAAGGAACTTCTATTTCGTGACAGGTCATTGTCCAGTTGTCAACGTATATTTGTATATATATATAAATGCGTTTTGTTAAAATATACCTTTTCACTTTTTTGGTCTTTTGGAAAATGTTGTTTGTGCTGTATTTAGACCCCTCTACTAAGAAATTTGTTTTGCATGCACACGTATAAAAATTGCGGTTTTTATCCAACGCAATCATAGGTTTGAACGTTGTTTTCAATTTAGACTTTCGTTTGGGCTTGTATTATATTTGCCTTCGGGTTTATATGATCCGTTCATCCTATTTCGACTATTTCAAAATTCAAGAGTCTATCCTAAATTGAGGTAAATTATATGGCCTTCCAAATACCGTTTCGATTCCTAACATCACTGAAAAGACATTAATTGTCGAAATCCGGATATGGTGTACAAAATTTTGCACCTCATGTTTGCGGTATACCATCTTTTCCGCAAGCTTATTGTTTTCTGTTTGGTACTAAATTAATTATAAGATCCATTTTGCTACATCTTGTGATCCGTTTATTTGGCAATCGCCAATGGCAGTCAGCAGGGTTTAAGAACATCAGTTGTTCGACCTGCTAGTCAAATGCGGTTTGTTAAAATATACTTTTTCACTTTTTTGGTCTTTTGGAAATTGTTGTTTGTGCTGTATTTAGACTCCTCTACTAAGAAATTAGTTTTGCATGCACACGTATAAAAATTGCGGTTTTTATCAAACGAAATCATAGGTTTGAACGTTGTTTTCAATTTAGACTTGTTTACATATATGTTTTCCGCTTAAGTTAGTTTGATAGGATCTACTTGTGATAGACCAATGATATTTTGTATATAAAGTTGCATTACTATCAGTACATATCAGTATGACGACTATGTTGAGGCCCTGTCCCCTAGGACATGGTCCAGTGACTTTGAATTAATTAGCAATTTTCAATGTTATTAAAGTTTTCTGTTTAAATTAGTTTGATAAAGTTGCATTACTATCAGTTCATGTCAGTTTAACGACTACTTGGAGGCCTTGGCCCCTAGGGCATGATCCAGCGACTCAGTGAATTAATAAACAATGTTGCTGTCCATCAGATCTAACAAGCATTAGAGAGCCTTAATAATACAGAAACCCCTGTTTGGTGTCAATTTTGACCTAACTTTTTTTGTTTCTGCATGTTGATGGAGATAATTGTTATTATTTGTCTTTTTTGTTTTGCTTTATATTGACTTTAGTGTTTATCCTTAGACATTATTTGATTGCCATTTTCTGTGTCTTATTGGCTATTCTAACGAAGTGCAATTCCTGTTTATGATACTGAAAAGTTGACACAAACTTTCGCGAAAATTGGACATTTACTGAATGTCCACATTTTGAGACTTTGCAAATTTAACCACAATCCCGTCCTCGTTTCCTCTAATGTGACCTATGGAATTAGACACTTATCTCCACGGGGTAACGATTGAATGAAATGCAATTACAACCCTTATGGTGTTGACTTAATATCTATATCTTCCAGGGTTTATCACTACTTTTGAAAGTTAAAACAAAATTGTGCAGTGAGGTGATCATTCTTTATATCCTATCTAGTCAATGTCATGCAATTTATTAATGATATGTTATTCTCAGATATTCAAATTCCAATATGATGAGTATTTGAACTACCATATGTGTCAAGAAGACTTATTTGATTGAAAATTACATAAATAATGCATAGCGTATGAATCTGTTATAAAAATAGGTTCAACTACAACTGTCCAATCATGAACAAATTCTTTCATCGATACAAAGATTTGGCTGTACCTTTCAAACGGAATAGCACATCCTAAATTTTACGGTGATGTTGTGTACCGAGTCCGGAAATTTAGATACGATCCGGGTAAACTTATCAATCCTTTAAATAAACTTATTCTAAAAGGTTAACTATTCAACACTGTAATTAAATTTTTGAATATTGTTTTATTGGTATAAATATTGATTTTGTTATCAGTAAATTTAAACCATACTAAATATTACACGTATGTACTTTCACTATACTACAATCTGTCGATACCTATATAATTTGGCTTTGCACAAGATCATGTTTTTCTCTGACTATTAATGACGTCTTTACAAGTCTTGGATACATGATTTTTTTTTCATTAGTTGTTATAGGCTTTGAACTAGCTGTCAGTAACTGCGAGTACTCTCAGCGGATCAGTACTTAGTGTCTTTTTGTTTTTGGGATGTATAAGTACCCGCCCAAGTCCACTCTGTTTTTGTTAGATATATTTCTATTTGTATCCATCTGGTGAGTTAAGACTTTTTCAACTGATTTTTATAGTTTGTTCTTATGTTGTACTGTTACACCACTGTCCAAGGTTAGGCCAGGCTTAAGAATATTTCAGTTTGCCCTTACCCGACTCATCAGTTAGACACATGCATGGGTAGGGAAGGTAGGTTTTTTTTTCTGAAGACAAAAGAACCTCCATTGAATCTTTCTACGCTTCCTGTCAGAGAAGCTAACTTCAGAATTACATAGTGATCTGCATCACTTTGATATATAATTACTGGTGTATTAATTAGAGCTTTTTTCATTTCTCATCTGCTTCAAAATAACTTGGACATGTTGTTCCAAAATTCTGTACTGAAATGTGTTTTAAAATTCGACCATATATCTTTTGTTATTATACAACACTAATTCAACCACGCACCCCATATTGCCATGTTAGGACAATACACTTTTGTAGTGATCTGGCAGTTAAAGTTGGTAACAATAAATCTTAAGATGCATTACTTAAATATAATCAAATATATAAAAATGGTTAATAAATATATCAGGGCGGATCCAGGATTTTAGGTTAGGGGGGCGCAAACTTAAATTTTGCCGAGCGAAGCGAGGCGAGGCGAAAAAAATTTTGAGGTAAAATTATCGAAATATTCTTTATTAAGCTGAGGACAACCCATGCTTTGCAAATTTTAGGGGGCGCACACCCGCCACGCCACCACCTGAATCCACCCCTGTATATGAATATATTTATATTTAAGATATTTGTCAATAGTTATTACGACCGATCTGCTATCATCAGGGGTCCAACTGTCAATGTTATGTTATAGTCTTTAACCTTCATCTATTAAGCATGTCTCCTCGACTTTTGTTTGCTATACGTAACTAGTAGTTCTACATTGAATACTTATACACATTGCACGTCAAACTGCAATAAATGCCATTGTTTCATGATATATTTTTTTGTATTTTATATATACATTGTATTGGTTATATTAGGTTATTAAAACTAAAGTAATATTATCTTTTTCCTTTTAAGTTTCTATGCCGAAAAAAATATGTACGGTCAATTGATAAAGCACCAGTAATAAATCATCTATCTCAACGTTATCATAGCCCTGATCTAATAAATTTCACTTTGAAATTAGTTAGATTGTGTATAAATGTGTTTTGGTCACTTGTTTCTTACATTGTATCCCCCAAGAACCCTGAAATCCTCGAAATACATGCTGGGACATCTGTTCTGATGCAGACAGAGATAGAATTTGTTTCATTAATGTAAAAAGTTAGTCCATTTAACACTAATCGAACTTTTTTCATATAATATTTCTTGATTATGAATGTAAGCTTCTGCCTAAGTTTCATATCTGTTCATGAGGGTTTACAAATTTATCATGTAAAAAAAATGTAATCCCAGACTGTCAAAAAGACAAAGTTTCATAAATTCTTTGAAGGTTTGAAAAAGTAATTGATGCCGGACAAACGTAAACTCAGACTGTACATTTGTATCTACATTTGTACATATTAACTGCAAAATAACGTGTCCTTTAATCAGTAAAATACGGAAAAATGAAGAAAGCAATTCTCATTATTTGGCTCTGGATACTGTCTTTTGATCATAAAAAAGCTTCTGCCCATATTTCATAAAATTTTATGATGTTTTGACAAAGATATTGATTGATGACTGAAAACTTTTACCATGCACAGACTGTTTCAAGTCTATTTATCAAAAACAATACGGGAAATAATATATTCAAAATTTTGCTCTGGATATTGTGTTTTGGTTATAAATAAGCTACTGTCCAAATTTCATAAGATTCTATGAAGGTTTGTCAATTAAAGTCACGGATGTCTAAAAAAATGAACTACACGGAGACTGGACATAATAATTGAATGTTGACGCTATAATTGATAGGTCTCCCTTCCGCGGCATAAATGTGGCAGGCTCGACAATAAGGAGATGTGGAGTGATTGCCAATGTGACAACATTCCACCAGAGACCAATATAACTAATAGGCAATCACTATTTGTGTATTAGACCCAGTTGAAACTAAAGACCTATCGTCAATTACAAATACATATGCAACACAAAAAAAAAAATATATAGTGTGGTGATATATGAAGACAAAGTATTGGTGGCCTTCGGCTGTTTTCTGCTCTTTGGTCGTTGTTGTCTCTTCGACTCATTCCCCATTTCCATTCTCAATTTTATTGATACACATGAATTAGTAAAATATATATTACTCCAGTGTTAAACAGTGCTATCCAGACAGACGTACGGTGACCTATAGTTGTTAATATCTGTGTCATTTGGTCTCTGGAATGATGTCTCATTGGCAATCATACCACATCTTCTTATTTTTATATATATAGCGAAGTTTTTACTAGTGGTTACCCGGCTATACAGGACCCTAAATAAAACAATGCATGGCGATCATGCTCACCACAATCTATTCCAACAAAGAATTTCCCAACAAATGAGGAATTTTCAAAATATATAACAGTATTGAAATAATACCGATGAATGAAGAATAATTTTAAAGATTCCCGGCATTTTAACTTGTTTTCCAATAAGTTATCTCCCTTTAAACGGGCACCTTGCCGCTAGGGTATCGCTCAAGCGTAACTAATAACCAGTATACACAAATATCCATATATTTATGTTGTTATCTTATTTAAATGTATTGGCGGGTAGGTAATAAAAACTTACTGTCAGAATGACTGGGAAATCAGCAGGACGGAAAGAAAATAAACAGATTTTTCAACAGTTATCGCCGGTTACATCGAAATGTTTAGCTATGGTTGTGTCGCTTGTTGTTGAGGCTAAAGCTGTAAATGGAAAGGAAATATTTGACGATTTTCAACTTCGGAATAGTACTTGTTATTGGAATTCTGCATTATCTGACAGCATAAAAAATCTTCAATATTTGGGATTTTTAGAACCAAATACAATTTTACTCGGTGGAACTGATGTATGTTTGGAAAATCTGAGAATGGCATGGGGTAGAAGAGTTCTAAATGATCCACACAACTGCAGGATTGAGAAAATTGGTAAGTTTTAGGAAGATATTTTATATATATGTCATAGAAAATACATATTAAAAGTAAAAATGACATTTTAATTAAGCTGATTTATAAATTTATATTTTCACTTGAATTTGGTAAAAATTTACAAATTGTCCTTTTTTTTTATTATTTACTAAGCATCTGTATAAAGTTCCCAACATTAATCTTTATGCGTCACTCGTTTATCAGAAACATTAGTTTGTATGACTCAAATCTCATGGATCATTACATAAAGACATTACAGTACAATTTTTCAATATGCATATATTTATATTAATATTTAATATAAATGTGGTTTCATTTTTGTAACAATGTGAAAACAATACATCAAAGATACTTTGTACCAGGCTTATAATTTGGTATGCCAATTATTGGTTTCGTCTACACAAGACTCATCAGTTGCACTTGAATCAAACTAGTTTCAAAGCCAAATCAAATATTGAAAAAAGTTGAAGAAATTATTGCGTGCATTTCTTATTGCTATTTTTAACGAATGAACAAAAATGTGAGTTTAATGATTTACATAAACTTTTAGATTTTGATGTTAACACAATTTGTCCTTACATGTACTTAAAAATGAAGTTGTTACAGAATTCATAATCATTCAAAAGCTACATGTGTATCTCTGTCTTTTTCTCGCATTTAACAATTCCTTTTTAGAAGAATTTCAGGGGGAAAAAAAATAGAAAAATGAGAAAAATTTTTAATATTCATAAAACTACATGTAACTATTATTCTTAAATGATAAGTAGGAAATACAGAGTAAAAGATATTGGTTTACTAAATTTTACAGATTTGATAGGTTCTATTAAAAAAAAAATTTTTTGTAGTAAATTATATTGTTTCAAATTAAAAACAAGTTTAAAAAATTAATTTATTTATAAGAACCATATGTCAAAAATCACTTTGATGTTTATATTTGTATTGACCATAAAAATTGTAAACAAATCAAACAAAAGAGGTTCATTAGAACATAAATTAGATTATGGTATTAACACCTTGTTAAAATAATAGCCAGAAGGTCAGGATGTTCCATTTCCCTATAATTGTCTGAATTGGATTATTTGTTTACACTGTAAGATAACATATCTGTTCAATCATCAAAGATTGAATGTATCTACCCAGAGGCCAGGTGTAGATTTCTCTTACTATTAGACTAGTACATCAAGTTCTGTTATTTATATACCAGTTATTTTATTTTATGACAGGGCAGGTATGTTATCAATAGATTTGTCCTCAATATAATTATATATTTGTATAATTTAAAGACACACCTGCATCTGGTCTTATTTTGCATAAATCTTAATAATAATATGGAAAAACAATGACAAAAAATGATTATTCCAAATGTATATATACACACAGGAAGTTATCAGCACAGCTAAAGGTAAAATTTATATTTAGAGAGAATTTATTTAAAAGTTTAATTGTTTATGGTGTCTGTGTATAGAACATAATTTATTCTGTTTTCTTAAATTTAAAGTTGGATTATTTTTTTATGGTTGATGGAAAACTTTATTTTCTTTTAGTTTATAATCTTTGCATATTTTCAGTTTAAAAACAAATGGTAAATGATCATTAAGTTAGTATGGAGTGGTACAAGTAGCTATTTTGATCACATATTTCTACCTGGACCCGTTACTTTGATCTTAAATTATTGATAGTCATATGTCTTTGGCATGCAGGGTAAGGACAAAAGGAGAATGCAAGATATAAAGTAAATCACACAGCATGAAATAGACATCTACCATATATCCATAATGTACTTAAAGTATTATCCAGTTAATGGATTAGACAGTTCGCACCTGTCAGTTTTGTCACCTGTCACTTCAAAGTATTATCACCTACTGTCTCTGTCTAATTGCTAAATAAACCTTCATCACTTAGTTAGGTAGAAAATGTGAGCAATTTCACATGTATGTCAACTACAGGTTAAAGTTATTATTGACAAATCAAATCACTTTTAATTATGTTGTGACAGTTATTTGGTTAATTGATATTCACATGTTTATTTAATTTACATGTTAATTTATGCAATTAATACATTAGATTTATGTTCCTTTCAAAGCAGATGGCCATCCAATTTAAAAATATTAATGTTGTATCTGCTTCAGAAAAGATGTGTTTGAAATGCATGAAAACCATGTATGATGACAAAGAATTAAAATTATGCAGAATTTATTCACCATTTTTCTTATACAATCGATAATTTATTTATGATAACACATGTCTGTGAATGCTTTTGAATACAAATATGACATTAATTGTTGGATTGATGTATGTAGTAAGTTGCTACAAGCAATAACATAATCCTTACTGCAGATAGAATATTCAAGATAGTTACATTAGATACAGAAATCTCCCTTCCTATGATAGTTGGCATAGTATTTGAAATTTTTCCAAGTTTACCACATTTTGAAGGATAGTTGTTGATTAAATATGTAATGAAGTGAAATAACAGGATTTATTGGATGTTAGTTCCAATTAGAAATATTACTTTGTACTTATACACTGATAATAGAATTCCTCACTTTTAACGAACAGTTTTATATCTTAAACAGATGGTACACAAGAAAAAAGTTTAGATGTTTGTAAAAGAACAAACTAACGTAACAATGCAGTCAAAATTGGTTGTGATAACAATGAGATAGCAAATTCTTTTTAGTTTTATGAAATTTGCATTCTTTAGATATTTTTGCAAGCAATTTTTCACTGCTTTTAGTAAGGTAAAATAAAAAAAAATACTCCAAGGAAAATGCAAAATGGAAAGTCCCTTATCAAATGGCAAAATCAAAAGCTCAAACACCTCAAACGAATGGAAAACAACTGTCATCATGGTCATATACCCGACTTGGTACCGGCATTTCCATGTGTAGAAAATGGTGGATGAAACCTGGTTTTATAGCTAGCTAAACCTCTCACTTGTATGACAGTCACATAAAATTCCATTATATTGATGGATTTTTTTGGCAATACATTGTATTAATGAATTTCACCTCTAGAAATTTCCGATAGCATCATGGCAAGTTAGAAAATTATCAAAAACTATAGTTTTGCATCATGGTATTCCAAGTTTTATGACTCAACATTGGGGAAACTATTTTGGATAGGTAAGCCAAAAAATTGTTCAATTAGGGTACCTAGGTTTTTAAATGGAAACCTCTTCCAATCAATATAATGCCAAGTCAAATGTAAAAACACCAAAATAAGACACATGTGTAAAAATATTTCAATAATAATCTGTCTCTTAACATTTAGATTGCCAATATCTGATGTTTTAACATGTTTTTTATTGAAATAAGCTTGGATTATGACTTTATATTGAGTAAGACATGGTCAGAACGACGATCAATACATGTTAAATCACATGCAGATTTACTGTCAAATTTATTGGTATAGTTCTAATATCTTGTACTTATCCTTGTCAAATATTATGGATAGGACCTACAATATATTTATTTGTAAAGTCATCAAGATAGCGTTTGTACATTAATCCTAACCCATTTACATTGACATTATGGTTATCTTTGGGTTATACCTCTATTACAAAAGACTGCTATCCTTCCCTGATCTTTGAAGCTTTCATGTAAATGCATATATTACATGTAGGTGCTTGTTTGCCTTAGGTGTGGGCACTCAAAATCCATTTTCTTTTTTGTGATAATGCCAAAATATTTTGTGATTTCTTTGCCTATATATCATAGGAAAAAACTCTTTTACTGTAAAATATAGTTAAATAAAATATAACTCTTTTGTCAGGATGCATTTTCAATTGCTTCTGTTTAGTATTGTGATTTTTTGTGTGTGTACAGATGCATATGTTTCACCAATCCTCTGTCTGTTTTATCACTAGTGTAGATAAGTAGCTATCTGTTTATTTATTCATCTAGTACCATTCACTTTTCCATCACACATTAAATTTGCTTTTTCATTTGTTTCTCTTTTGAACTGGTTTACCGGGTTAAGTCAGAACATTAGGTGTATAACCACTAATTAAAAGAATTAGCAACCGCCATGAAAAAGCAAACAGTGCTGAAAGTGGTGTTAAAATACCAATCAATCAATAAAAGTCCTGGCATGAGAACATGCCCTTTTAGAAAATAGTACATGTGCATTTTAATACAAAAAAGCTCCTTCTTTTTGGTGTAACTTGTAAACCCTAAAAGTATTGAAATAACTTTGTATCAAATGATAATGGATAATTTTCATTTGTGAATACAATTTCATTGAACAATTAATATTGGTATGTCAGAAAGTGCAAATATACAGCACAATTCCTGCTTAAAGTTCCTTAATAATAATCTTAACTTCTTGGAACTGGTTGAGTTCCTTAAATGCAATTTAATATATGCTGATTTGGTTAAAGGACCATTTCAGCAAGCACATAGTTTTTATCCCAATTGAACGAGTTGGATGAGGGATCACAAACCTGGAGATGCAGGTTAGGCAAAAGAATTAAAAGGGACATAAATTAGTTGTTGTACCCAATAACATCAATTCAAGGCCACGTGACGAGACAGTTGTGACTATTATACAGAGTTGTCTATTATTGGTCTAGTTCATAAATCTAATCTATTCAATAAGGTGAATGTCATCTCAGAAGCAATTTTCTGCATATTAATTACAACAGTTGGTACATGTCATTTTTAATGCCATAAATTTTATCAAATGTATTCATAAGTTATAAATATGCCATCTATTGAGAATCAATGGAGTTCTTCATTTACAAGTATTGAGATGGAAATAAAAAAAAAAAACTTGATCCACAAATTTAGTCATATAAACAGCTAAAGAAGGACAAATTTTATGAAGGTTCATAAACATTGAGAAATGCATATATTTAGAATTTTTCTTTCAGAATAACAATGGTATCATAAACTTATAAATACATAATGACAACCAACTTAAATGCACATCTTTTAGCCCCCTTGTGGATAGTTATCTCATTGGTAATCTTAACAGGTCTCCTTATTTGTATATTAAAAATATTAAAAAAATTACAATACCACAACCTTGCACCATTCATGTGAAATTTCATAAGGTTTAAAAGTAAAATTATACTGATGATTTAATTTGTCTTAAATGCACAATATCAAAGTGTGAAAGGTGATCGTGAATATGTTATAATTGCCTGCAGATACAGTAAGTGTGTTAGCCATACTATCAGTACTAAAAGTGGCATATGATTAGTACCTATAGTGCCATACTAATTACTTTAATTGTCATTGCAGGAGATATTGGTAATATAACCATGCAGGAGGTGCCACAGAATCATTTTATTCCCCTTCCAGAAATCCTCTGTCTCATTATCCTTGACCTCAACAACAAACAGATCCTAGCAACAGTAGATATCATACAGGCACAGCTAAAAAAATGTTACCAAGGGACACAGTTACCAAGCAACCAGCTGGTATATGAAACCTTGCATAACTTGATTCAAGAAAGGAAAATTTTTCATACCGGTATGTACAGGGTATTTTTGTTTCATTTTAGGTATAAATACATGCATACATGTATGAACTATTCATCTTATTAAATAAACTGACTGGATGGTATTGTAATTTAACTGTTATAAGACTCTGGGGGTATTTTCTTACTTGTGATCAGTTACCAGTCTTACACTGAAACTACCAGTTCTTGCAATTTCATTAGTCAATATTTTGGCAAAATAAAATATCTCTATAAAGTAAACTTTTTACTACATGTACATTACTTATCGTGAGTGCCTGGAGAGAACCAACAACCCTCTACAGGAAATCTGGTAATCCTAGTCAATTAAGATTCGGAGTTGCTTATTATGGGAAGCTAATTGTATGTAAATGAAACTGAAATGAAAATAATATTACAACTACAAGTCTATATATCTTATCATCAGTAATTATTTAAACAGTTTTATTTACCAGTACATGTATTAGACATGAAAGAAGGTTGATTTCCTGCATACAAACTAGAAATAAAAACATCTTGGAAACTTCAAATTAGAGTAAAGAGTTTACTAATCTCAATTACCAAAGATTAGCAATCGCTGTCCTGATCAGAGTAGAACCAAAAGATCTATCATTTAAAAAATGATATTTAAGTCTTTTCTGGACATGTTCATTTAGTCCTTATTGTGTAAAATCTAAGATTGTAACACCAAAATTTTGGAGATAAGAAACTCAAATTTCTGATTTAAATTGAGTAGATCTGATTTGTAATAAAATTTTTAATTGATATATAGAATTTCTTAATTATTTTACTTCTAAAATTTCCAACTCAAGGATAAAGTAGAAAAATATTGAGAAATTTGACAATAAAAGCCATGGGTGAATATAGAATACACCTGAGATGTTTGCAGGTGAGAAAGTTTCCTTTGTTGATAGGATGTCGATTTAGTGGATTTCCAATTCAGGATCAGAGAGCATATGTTTCAATTAAAAAAAAGGGGTCAGAGTTCGGGTTTAAAGTTCTCACTGTAATAAAGTCTAGAGAAAATACCTTACATGGCATTGACAAATGGATTACTATTATCTAAATAATCAGTTACAACAATATTTTCACACATAATTGATGCAAGTTTATGAATTCAATAAAGGTCTCCTTTCTCAAAATTCAAATTTACTTAAAGGATTCTTTTGCAGAGTAAATAAAATTTTGAAAGCAATTACATATTGAATACGAAAAATACATAGATCAATGGCAAACTAATGATGGTTTAAACTACCAGGTAATTGAGTCTAAATCGACTGGATGTTTTAGTTACTGGAGAATTTTTAAATTTACGATTTGCAAACACAGGAAATGTAGATGTCTATGTTATTGTTAGTTGATAGTTGATAGTTTGTTGTTTTATTTTCAACATCTCTGTAAACTTTGATGTTTCTCCATATGACATAGGACAAACAAATGCTTAGGAAAGACCTTTGGGAGAAAAAGGTGTTTGACTTTTTTATCAGCATGATTTTGATCTATAGCAATGTTTATAAGCATAAATATGTTTACCTGATTAGGTTGTATAATTTCAAGAGCTGCAAATCAGAATGCAGTAATGCTACTCACAATTTAACCATATTTTGTTTTCACAGAATAGTTCATCATTATGATACTTTCATGATGATCATGAATTGATGATGGTTGCTTTTGACATTGGAAGCATAATAAATGCATCTTGTGTGTGTACACTGATCACATTTTAAAAACTATGATAATAAGGCCTGTTGTCATTATCCAAGTTTTTCTTATTATAAAAGTTAAACTTAAAATCTCTGTGTCACCCAGAGTAAAGACAAATTGGAAATAACTTATTCAACAAAAACTATGAAAGATACAGAGGATCAACACTATTTTCCTTAATGGAAATTAAAAATGATAAAGAAACAATACATCGATTATTAATTTGAAAATTTGAGTCAAAAGTGAATTAAGGTGGTACATAACACTACAGGGAGATAACTCTTTAAAAATCAGCTGAACATTTTAATCACTGTTAAGGAAATATTAAGCTTCTCAACAATCAAAATTAGTGTTTGTCAAACTGCTATATCTCCAATGAAATTTTTCGGATAAAGTGGGTGGTTCTGGTATTTTGAAATTTTTATATTTTTGTCAAAGGGTCAAAGTAAATATTTTAGTCAAAATTTTATGAAAATTAAAGGAGCCAAATTAATTTTAGTCAACGTGTTTGGTACCACCTTAAAGAATAAACAAACAACAAATGTTTAAGAAGTTTGAAAAAAATGGACCAAGATATGATACATCATTATCTGAGAATGTGATTCAGTTGGTTGCATTTTATGCCGTTCTGCTTTAAACATGCATTTTCCTATGCTTTTAACGTATTGACCTTTGTTAAAGCATACTAAAATATGGCCTTGTTTTTTATTTATAATAACAAACATAAATTTGTAATTGATGTTTATTAAGTTTATGTTTTTACAATTGGATACCCATCCATGGTCTATAAACTTTAGAAAAGGCAGTTGTTGATGTATTGGTGGTTTTGATTACCAACTCTCCAATTTGTTTTCTGTGATTTGTAATAAAAATATAAATTGAATGCTTGTGAATATGGATTTTATGATGAGTTAATGGTCCCTGTGGTTTTTATAGCTCATTCATTTGCTAAAAATAAGATTGTTTTGATACATATCTTTTTTTATTAACTTGTTATATTTGTTTATATAAAAATCAATAAACATGGTTTGCTCAAACACATTATTTTAATTACAAATATTGTGGTTGGATTGTAATTGTTTGGTTTTTTTTTTTGGTTCATCTGAATGTCAATGAAACTTTTACCTCAGAATAAGATATATCTGAACTACCATGGTGGTCTGAAGGTATCAAGCTTGCCTTGAGTGTAGGAAGTCATGGTTTCAATTTTTGACTGAGTCTAATCAAAAGACTTAAAAATTGTCATTTGCTGCTCTGCTACATGTATAAATGGAAGTAGGATTTCAATGATTGTCTGACTGGTTGTCAGAACAATATGTCCTTGACAGTAGGGTAACAAGTTTTCATATAGAAGGTTATCATGGTAACTGGCATGTAAATTGTGTTTTGCATGTTGACTTTCCCCATGTAGAACAAAGCAAGATATGTTCACATTTATGACATAACATGCTATCATCTTTGATATATATGTGTTTGTGTAATATTTGCCATTGTACAGAAAGCATCAATCAATCAAATATGTCTGTCTTTTGTGATACAAAGTAGTAGCTAAAACTGCTTTTTCTGACACACAAAAATCAAATGTGACGGAAAAGAAATACAATATCAAGACATGAAAGTCTAATATAATTTGTTTGAATGTTATAATGTACCTTTTCAAATTCCTTCATTCATATCTCCCATTGCTATTGTAAAAGAAATTTAGAATATCAGTGAATAGTAATTCTGTCATTAGCAACAGTTGCTGTGTAAAATTTTAGGTTTTTATGTCAATTTCCTTTTCACCAATTGTTAACTTTTGCAGTAGTCTCAGGTAAAAATAAGCTTAAAAGTCAACAATGTCTTTCATGGTGGTGCAAAAAAAAAATCTTTTATTTTCATTTATTTTGATCATATATTAATCTTTAAGCAGGAAGAGGTTTTGAAGAATCCATTTGATAATAAATTATTAGCACTCATTTGAATTGTCAAGCAATTCTCAATCTGTCAACTAAGATGAAAAAGCAGAGTGAAAATTATTTATGAGTGGTTTTTAAAAAGATATTATACAAAATTAATATTCTGTTATTTGTTCGTTATTTTTCAAACATTGAAAGAGTCACTTTTGGGAAATTGTCTAACCATCTGACAATTCATTCTGATTCATTCAGACAAATATTTGTGGGGTTTCTGATGCAATTATCACAAAACTTCTACTAAAATTTGTTTATTAGTTTGGCAGATTTTATTTTAGACCAGGAATTTTTTGTTAATTTGGATGCTTTATCTGTGTGCATTATAATTTTACATACAGTGTTAACTTAACAGTGTAATGTATTTTCAGGTAGTGGATACTTTGTGGTTACGCCTGATACCCTCAGACTCCCGGTTGACCTACCTTCGCCAAGTTTGCCACCTCAACACAATCCAATGTATCTACCAGTATCTAGAAATCAAATGATATGTGATCGAAGAATGTCACCTTTCACAGTTCCCATGACAACAGTTGCTATGACACAGACTTTACCACCAGTTAGATCTATTTCTTGCCAAGTGAGCATAGCCAATCAAAAACGAGCTAGCACACCAGAACTAAAGCTAGAAGAGACAGATAAACCAAGATTACATCGTAGCCACAGTGCTCGTAGACACAAGGAAAAGAATCAGAATGACCCAGAATCATTGAAAAAGAATGTATCAGTAAGAGCCCAAGATGACTGTTTAACAAATAAAGATGTCAATGTTATGAAGAGTAACCTTAATAAAGTCAAGGAAAAGGGTATGTATAAGAGTTATATGACTGTCAATCAACTCAGTGCTGTGAAAACGACCCTCATTTGGTAACTTGAATTTTACAACAGTACTAAAATAGAAAAGGAGAAGGTATATTTTGGAGCTTGTTCAGCCCCAGTAACTTCAAAGATAAAAGAAAATTTGTAACATATACATTATTATATAAACCACTAAATTAAATTTTCATTCAATGAAAAATGAATTTTAGAAAATGTAGATTTTAGCATAGGCACAATTTGACTGTTATAAAAGTGCATTAATATTCATGGCTGCCTTAAGGATGAAATGCAAATACCTATAAAACAAATATAGCAATGTTGTTTTTTTTCAAGTACACTGATCAAACATTCAATTTTGCAATGTGAAGAAATTTAGAAATTTATTTTTGTTAGGACCCATTAGACACCAAATTGTTCCTTTTCTTTTGTACTATATTAGGAAGTATAAAATGACAACTTGCATCTATATATCATAATGTTCTGACACTTTTTTGATATGACTTTGGTAAAAGTTTTGAAGTCAGTCAGGAGTTACTTATGTCTCAATGATTTATATATTAAATCAAGGCTCTTTATGATCCTATATTATACCTCATTATGTCATAGGGTTTATGCATATTTAATCTTTTATTTGAAGATTTGCATTTACATAAGAAAGTAAAAGGGTTTGGTGGTTAATCTTTTGTGGTTTAAATACTCTCAATGCATGTATTAACTATTCAATTATACAATGATGAGAATTGACTCGTTTCCCACTAGAAAGAATTCAGATTGAAAGAGATACTATACCCTCTTATCCAGGATTGAAAAAGTTTTCCCAGCAAGACAACTTGTTAACACCATTTTAAAAGAAAAAGGACTTCAAGAACTTATTCATCACCATGCTAATCTTTTTAATAAAAGAATTAATTAGAATTTAAAGCTGTTGTAGCAGTAAACTGGTGTTTATGACAAACCAGGCTTCAATAAGCAAATATAAAAGATGTTTTACAGATGTAGAAACTTTTGTCAATGATAACGATGGGATTGAATTATAAGCTTTAACTGGTCAATATACTGAGTTTGAAAGTATCTGTTGAAAAATTGGAATCAGGAAATTTTTAAAAACATTAAATGTTGAATATCCTATTCATGGTTTCAGGTATAGAGAATCATTTTATAAATAGGGTAGCCACTTAAGGGGGGAAATTTTGTTTTTATTATTTTCTAGTCCTATAGCTTTATTTTAACATTTTGTTTATATGAACCTTATAAACTCAATTCATTATGCATAGCATGTCCTAGCACATACCATGGAAGTATTATATTGACTTTTACTCCATGCACATACCATTTTAGCTGTAGGGAATTTTATGAATTTGATGTATAAAAGCTATAACTAATGAATTGGTATCCTGTTTGATAACAAGGATAAAAATTCTACTTCTAACCCATAAAATTTTGAATAAAATTTGTGATTTCTTTGTTAATGGAAAATCTTTAAAGTTTATTAGTTGGAGTCAGTCATTTTAGTAAAGTGTGAAGTTATTAAGGGTGTCATGGTTTGATGAATGAGGGTTTAATCTCTATCTGATATCCACACTGTTTTGTAAGAAAGTTATTTTCTTCTTTTTTTTTTGGGGGGGGGGGGGGGGGGGGAGGGGGGGACATAAAAACTGTGGATCTCACACAAAGAAAACAGGGAAACAAATACAGGTTTATTGTTATGTTAGTCTATTGAAAAAGGAATATTGAATTATTTGAATTTACAAAACCTGCATACATGTTTAATTATTCTTGTGTTTTAAAATATTTTCATAACATGTATACGAATTAAACCAAAATAAAAAAAATAAATCATAAATCGATCAGCACATATTCAAGTAAAATTTAAATGAAATATTTTCAGTATTTAAATACTCATTGAAATATATGATAAATTTCTATTTTATTTTTAAAACACTTATTTGTGCCATATTTTGATGGATTATATTACTTCATAATTTATTCATGCATGCATTCCTACTGTTTGTAAAAACACCTGTCACATCTGCTTACATCACATTATATAAAACACCATTGTATTGGTTGAAAGTAAAAGTTTTAGCCAATGACATTAAGTTATTTGTATCACAGGTCTTTTACAGTCCTTTTTGCACAAAATTTGAAATACAAAAAACTACATGGTTACAATTGACCTCTTGTAAAATTTATTAAAAAAAATGAACAAGAGAGAGATAACATGTGGGAGTATAGTAATTGGTTTTAGGAGTAAAACTGAAAACAATGGAGGTAGGGATATGTATTCATTGTTTTTGTATTCAAGTCCATTTGTCTTAGGGGGTATATTACCTTATATCACATGTATTTCAAAATCTGAGGAAGCCAGCTTTAGATAAGATGACTGCAACATTTAAAGCTGGGATTAATAGATTTACTAAATGTGTTAGTTGAAAAATATGTGCAGTTTAGAATTTTGGTATACAAAAATTCCTCTTCCTAAAAATTAATTTAAAATAAAAATAAAGTAGAAACATGATATAGTTGTGACAGCATGAAAAACAAATGAATAAGTAAATGTGACTTCAACAGTCAGCATAAATTTACATGGTACAGTAAAGAACATTCATAAAACAACTTAAAATTACTTCATTGAAAGGACCAAGGATTAGAGATGAAAAACAATCGTTCTTAGAACAACTTACTTCATTGAAAGGACCAAGGATAAGAGATGAAAAAAAATCATTGCTCTTTTTCCAATGCTTATTTGCAATTTTTAGAGAACTTGTCACATTGCAAAACATGTATTGGTTATGAACATAATCATTTAAATGTAAAGTGAATCAAACAATATATTCAGCTCTAACATTCAAATTAAATAGCTAATTGAACTACATGTATACAAGCTATAAGCAGTCTTTAATTTCTGTAGTTTGACTAAAATAAAGTATACAAATTCTGAAGAGCAGTTTGGAATGCAGGCTTGATATGTTTAATCAAAGATTCTTTCAGTTAACTTCAGTTTTTCTACTAAGATTCATGTTATTTTTTGTGGGGTAAAATTACGTAAATGTGGAATGTGTTCTTCCAAAAATTTGCAATGCCTTTTCATAATATTAAGTCATTAATAAAAGTTAATGAGATAATTTTAAACAGGAATGTTTCTGAAAAGATATCCTACATGTTATCTACTTGTTTCTGAAGTAACTATAAATCTAGACACGTGTGTATGTGAGTGCAGTGGTTTGAAGTTACAAATGAAAGTTTGTAGTAGGATGTCATAATATATATTCAAAACTGTTACAGGAAGGAAAATGCAATTAAGAAAAACAAAATTTACATAAAATAGCTTATAATCACATACAGCTCCAGCTGATAATAACCACATATTTTGAAAATATTATTGTGAAACCATTTTTTTTTTTTCAGGAGAAAAGAAGTCATTATTGTCCAAATTGTTTGGGAAGAAAAAAAAGACGGAAGAGGTTAAAAAAAAGTCTAAAGAACCAGAAACAAAAGATAAAAAACGTGAATATGCCACATTTTCTGGTCAGTTCCCACCACCTGAATGGTTGTGGTACCAAGATCAATGTAAAAAACAAGAAAGGACAAATAAGTGGGTGACACAACAATCTGGAATGGTTCTGATGTCTCATGGGCATTTATCTCATAAAATACATCGGCCGACATTTGAGATCAAGAAAGACCTACATCAGTGTAACAGTATTTCTCCCGTTACTCTTCCTACAGCAGTGTCCAGTAGTAAGCATCATAAATCTCATAAACAATCTCATAAAGTATCTCCCTCTGAAAAAGCACATACCTACCATGAAATTGAATCATTTAAAATGTGCAATAAAGCAAAAAAAATGCAGCAGCCACATTGTGTTCAAGAAATGCCACCAGCATCAAGGTTCCTTCCTATTAAAGAGTCTCAAGAAAAAAATCCAGATATCAGGGTCCGAAGATCAAAATCTTATAATCGTAAGTCAAACAGACATTCAGTTGATGTTGGATTACTTCGAAGACAACATGCTCACCGAGAGCTTCAACAAGATATTCAAAATGAACAATCAAGAGTAATGGGGTTGTCTCCCATGTATAGCTCAACACCAAGAGATGTTGAAAAGAGATGTATACAACCAAGTGGAGATTATGTAGATATGTGTTCTAGTCCCGTTCTACGTGAAGTTAATCGAACAGACCACAGATCCCACAGGAGAAGATCTAAACATTACAAAAGAATTGAGAATGACATTAACTATGAGCACCATGGTATATTGCCCCGTAAACACAGCAATATTGCTATGTCTCGAGATAGTGGTGTTAACTGTGTAGGTTTGTCAAATCCTTCCGAAAATAACAATGTTTTTTGCTATAATCAGTTAATGGACTATGAAAATGTAAAATCAAACAACTTACACAAAAGTTGGGAGATGCAAGTTAATACTCAACACAATGGTGAATTAAAGAAAAATGAAATCGTCTGTATTGCTGAAATCAATGCATGCGTTCCAGAGCATAATGATTATGTTGAAATAAACAGTATAGAAATGGCAAGAAGTGTGCCATCAGAAGTAAATGAAGACGCAAAGGAAAATCAGCCTTTTTCGAATAGAAGTGATGATATCGGATTAATGGACAGTAGTGAACAGAGTTATGACACAGTAATTTATAATAAAAGAATACAAGATGTATCTAAGGAAACAGAAAATTTGACTCTTGGTGATAGTGGATTTTACTCTCCTCGAGTAACAGAAGTTGAACTTGGTAAAAACAAAAACAAAGTGAAGGTGCCATTATACAAAAACTTAAGTTATGACCACCATGAACTGAACAATCTCAAAGATTTTCAGAAAGAAAAAATAGTGCTAAATAATGAATTCTACAAGGAGCCATCTCCTTCATCTGATTATCAAATTGTTGGTGTTGTGTAAATTAATGTTGTGATTGTGATAAGGGAGATAATTATCAAAATTTATAAAAGTACATGTACATGCACTCAAATATAAGCATGACAAAGTGAGAAGAAAAATGATTTCAATTCATATGATGGTTGTTTTTGTGCCCTACCTCCAATGTTGCTGGCCATATAAATTGTTTTTATTCCCCACCACAAATGTTGGTTAGCCATATTGATTTACCATTGACTATCTGGTTGATTTCTTAGACCTTTGTGAAGGATATAAATGGTATTTCACAAATACAAGTCTATTTATAATTATATTATACAATTATTTTCAACAACATTGTACTTATAAATAAGATGTGGTATGAGTGCCAATGAGACAACTCTCCATCCAAGTCACAATATATAAAAAGTAAACAATTATAGGTCAAAGTACGGCCTTCAACACGGAGCCTTGGCTCACACAGAACAGCAAGCTATTAAGGGCCCTAAAATGACTAGTGTAAAACAATTCAAACAGAAAAACCATTGGTCTAATCTATATAAAAAACAAGAAACGAAAAACACTTATGAACCACACCAACAACGCAACCACTGAACAACAGGCTCTTGACTGAGGACAGGTGAATACAAATGCAGTGGGTTTAAACGTTTTAACAGTCGCCGACCTTCACCCTAACCTGAGATAGTAACACTGCAACATAAAATGACACACTATTAAATATCAATTGAAATGGCTTAACTCGATCAAAAAGACGTATAAACAAAAACAAGTAAACATACACTGAACGAATAAGTTTGATCTATGACACAATATAAATACAATATTAATAAAAAAGATGTAGCAACAGTGTCAAAAAAACTAATACAGGCAAATTTAAATATAATAATTTTGTTGTTAGGAGTACGGAAAGATTTTTAAAAAAATTAATAAATTTGTTATTCACAGTACAAGTACAGAAGTGAAAATTTATCGTCATACTAAATACTTAACAATATTGGAAAGTGGCCTTGTTGAAGATGCACATTGAACTTGGGAGTGACAGGTTCTTTAGAGCCTCTAGATTAAGTCTTCCAGGGATGGAATCTGTTTTTTTTTTTAGATTAACATTTAGATATTGACATATTAGTGCATCCTGAGCATTATACATGTATAGCTAATGAGATGATTTTGAAAAACGAAGTGTGACTCCATGAAGGACATAGACAAAAACAACAACCAAAACTAAAGCTGTAAAGTAATCTCCAAAGCTTCTTCTTGGTTTTGACTTAGTTGAATTCCTGATGCTGCAAACTTAAAATTTGAACATATTGTGACATATAATGAGTGGAAGATTATTATTGATTTTTTAGGTCACCTTGTTGAAGGTCAAGTTTACAGTTTTAAAAATAGAGACCAACTAGTGTATAAAAAGTGTTTCTATACCATAACTTGAGAACCTTTGTTTGAATAAGAGCCAAAATTTAACATACAGTCACATATTATAAGAGGAAGACCCCAATCAATTATGATGTCAATATGTCTAAGGTTTTTGTCACACATATAGACCCAAATCACTGCAAAAAAGAGGTTTCTGTATGACAACCAAGAATATAACTTCGGATTGGAACTAAACTTAAATATGTAATATGAGAAAAATCCATGAGTTTGAGATCAATTTTTCCAATTAGTTAGGTGATGGATACAAAAAGACCCAAATCAGTGCAGAAATCAGTTTTTGATAACTCTAGAACTTTCTGAAATAGAGTTGCAGAAACTAAGAATAGATACTTTGTGCAGAAATGGAGAGGTTGGATAACTGAAGAACCTTACTTTGAACAGAACCAAATTTGTTATATATATAAGATCACAGATTATAAGGAACATTTCTATTCATTATGAGGTCAATACTTCAAAAGTCAAGAAGCATGGTTATAGTTACAGACATCTGCTTTAAATTGTTACCTGAAAGGCGAACTAGTGTAATGGTCTACCTCGGCGAGAAAACAAGTACAGTTACAGTATTTTCCTGCCTTCATATTAACAAGTTTTGTTTAAATAAACTCTTGTGATGAGGAAAATTTAGTAAATGTATGTGAAATATGTGAGTTTGCTTACTAAGGTGCTTACATTTTAATAAGACATAAACTTTTAGACGACAAATTGTTCTAATTGTTATGAATTTTCAAGGAGCTTATATCTACTCTTTTAATAGTAACAATGATTGCCTATCAAATATCAGATGGTATACAATTCATTTTCTATCAATAAATCAATCTGAATGAAATACAGACCCAGTGTCCACGCTTCCCTAAAAAATAGAGCAAAGGGAGGACACGGAATTTTGTATTTTAATCAGATTGTCGATAACGTATTTTCATCACCACCAAAAGGTATGTTGTGATTGAGGTTGAATTCATACTTTGTTTGATTGTTGACTTTCATCTTCGTTTGTGTCTAAGAATATGGCAGGTTTAGGTTTTAACATTGCATATACTTGTGCCACCTGCGACATATCTCTGTGTCAACAATATTTGAATGGGTCTTGCATGATGCATAAACAATTTCTGCTCTAACCTTTTGATCCTGTAGAAGAACATAAAGACACATGGGATACAACTATGAAACTCTTATGGAACTCTTTCTCGTGCAAAGCTCTGATTGCTTGTCCGGATTTGCCTATATACTTAAGTTCTGCTTACCCTTCTGGAGCATCTAAAATCACCCCCCGTTTTTGGAGTTGTCCATGTTGCTCAGTCTTTAGTTTTCTTTGTTGTGTTTTGTGTACTGTTTGTCTTTTCGTCGTTCTTCGTTTTTTGCCATGGCATGGTCAGTTTGTTTTTGACTTATGAGTTTGAATATCGATTTGGTATATTAGATCTTTGAATGCCTTTTTTGTATGGTTGACTCTTCAAAGTTTGTATAAGGTTTTGGCTTTTCAAATATTTTGGCATCGATCATCACTGAAGAGACATTAATTGTTGAAATACACGAAATCGATATAATGATATTTTAACCAATATTAAGGGATACCAATATTTATGACTATTATGTTTGATCCAAAGCAAAAATTATATACTGAATACACACAAGAGGCCTGAAAGGAGGAATGAGCTAACTTGAAAGGGATCTTTAGGTATAGTTGATTTAATCCCATGACAAGCGAGTTTCTCACAATCTAAAACTTGAAAATCTAGCTTCAATATTGCACAAATTTTTCATATACAGTACAGATCAGTACAGAAGGCTCGAAAACATTTAAGTAACCTCTGTTCCAAATTCACGGATTTTTTTTAAGTGTATGAAACAGATTTTGACGATATACTTTGCATCAATGTTTTTTCGCCATTAGAGATAGTGTCATAAAACTTTAATGTTCAACTGAAAGATAAAGATCTGACCTCGTTTATAACACAAGCTTAAATCTGAACAAATAAATCGTTTCCTTTGGATGCTTTGTTTTATATCTGATTGAAACTGATAACTTTTATATTCAACCGTGACACAGATTAGTAAGATTATATCTTTCCTAACAATTGACATGTCCTATTCTTATACTATACAAATGAAACTCGTCAGTTGTTGTCGTATGTCATATCTCAATTTTTTTTCGCAATTTGGAGAATTGGGTTTTATGAGGGGTGCATATTTCGCAAATACCGCTTTTGTATTTTTCCCACTTTCCACTTCTTTTCCCTCTTCCCACTTTTTCCCTTTTCCCAGATTTAACCTTTTTACGCCCTATATCCCACACACCAAAGGCGTGTCATTCCCCTCTTTAATGAAAGATCTTTGTTTGTTTCTGTAAATTATTTAAGCTCGGGACGATTTAGAGCTCGACATATTGTATAAACATCTATCTACTGACGAAGACTATGTTGCCCTTGGTTGTGTTTTGGTCATTTATGTCTTTTAGTCTCACTTTTAGTCTCACTGACGTATATACACGGCCCCATTTCAGTTTATTCATATCTACTATGTACAGTCATATAAGTTTACTTGAGTTATGATTCCGATGATAAAATGGTGAAAAAATAACTTCAATATTGATAAAGTATTGTAAATACTTTTGATTTATATGTCTCTTAAATTTCACTGGAAACATTTTGACAACCAGGTTGTTGCGCAAAAATCATACAATTCAGAAATTTGTTAATTTTCCTACTGCTAGTTTTGAATATATCAGACAACATGCATCATGTTCTAACTGACTGGGGTCCTTGGTGGCCGAGTGATCGAAGTAGTCGAACTACTGTATTCTGACTAGCCCGTCAACTGACTTAAGTTGCGAGTTCAAATCACGCACGTTGCAGGTGCGCTAGATTCCAATCTTAAATTGACGGTATTCCTATCGAAGATCGGTGATTCTCTCCGGGCATTCCGGCTTCCTCCATCAATGAAAAATGACCGCCACAAAATAGCACAATAGTGCTAAAAGTGGCGTTTAACATCAATAAATCAATCAATCTAACTGAATAATCTTAAAGAAGCGACATAGTATCGTACTTTTGAGACATTTGAAATGTTATGGGCGATGGAACATGTTTTCTGAACGTAAGTATCCGCAGACACATATATACACAGAGTTGCCAATCTCTGTGTAAATATGTCTCTGGTATCCGGTACTTTTTGAGACATGAATTGTTATGTTTAACATTTGAGTTATCTCCCGTTTACCAAAGAAAAAATTTTCATCGTCCATTGGAAAAGTATGTTTCATATACGTCATGTCGTTTCTCCGGACGCCTCTAATAAGTAGCAACTGAAAGCAGTGCTGCTAGTTTTACAAGTTGAACCACTGTGTATTTGTCTAGGTAATGAGTATGCGTACAAGTGTGAATTAAAATCACTGATTGGGATCCTTAAATTATAAAACGGGAAAGGGACCATTTTGGACCAAATTGGCCCTTGAATATTTAAACGATAAATTACGGGACAGCGGAACATATCTTAAACTTTCTCTGTCAAAAATATTGTTTTTAAAAGACAACGTTACCATAGGTCTCATGGCAAAGTATTCTGTAATAAACGTGTGAATAACGACTCTACCGTTCAAAATATATACTTTCCTGTTTTGATAACATATAGAACCACCAATTAGTTCCTATAAGTATAAAAAAAATAGACGATATTTATAATTTACATATACGTCAATTCCA